TAATCTATGGGTAACACATTACAGCAACTACTGCCAGTAAAATGTCCATATTCAGGGCTTAAATCGGTTGATGTTGGCAATGATCCATTAGGTATCAAAACATAACTAAATGAGATACGAACATCTGTGTTACCTCGATAACATCGATAATTTACATTAGGTGTCATTCCATCAGCATTCAATATAATGAAGTGTGTTGCACAATTCTATTAGTATAATATATTGTAGATACTTTTATTTACATCAATGAAAAATATTTGAATTATATATGTAAAAAAACAACTCATTTTTGGCATGTAATTCAGTTTATCTATCTCCCCTGGGTTCACCCTGGGCAATTTGAAATTAACTGAGATGCTCTCGTGAACCGTATCATGTAATTGCTATTTTTACGTTGTGCCCGATTGTAGTACACACTCAAGCTATATTCCTGCTAGACAATAATATAAAAAATAAATTTTAAAATCAACCTCAAAGTTGTGTCGTGCTTGATGCATGTGTGTGAAGTTAGCTGTTATAATAATTTAACCTTATACTAATAGAGGAGAAATGCACTTTAATGTTGTGGTTAAAATATTGGGGACCGCGATTTTTGTCGACTGAGTTACTTAGTCTATGACTATACATAATACAACTTATAGGATATAATATAAAGTACATGACTACGTGCATGCAACGGTCACTCAGTCACTAAATCAAGCAGTCTATATCACTGACCATGATGCATAATGTTACTAATTTAGACAGGGCCAGTCTATGAGTGGATAGGCATAACTGTATAAGCCATAAGGTCTATGATAATAACTAATAAGTGTACGTCTTATGATTATTTAGGCACACATTTCGGCAACACACACTCTTTGTGTTGCCTATATCGGCTCCTTAAAAATAGACTGCAATCATTTAAACAAAAATTCAAATATTAATAATAGTCATTACTCATTAGTGTCGACCTAAAAATATTAATCAAGTTTCCAGTATTGTCTTATATAGTGTTTTATGAATAGCATTATTTTCATCATAACTTTTGTCTATTTGTCTACTAGTATAATAATATAATCAATACTCAATATCCAATAAGTAATAATAATAATAATATTATTAGAAAATGGAATTTAATTAATTAATGACTTTTTCATTATTATTTTTTTATATGATTTTATAGTTTTTGAAGTGTACCAGAATTCAGAATTTTAACTAATCTGTGTTATACTTATTTCTCGGGGGGCATGCGAGCAATCGATTGTTTTGTTCTAAATTCTAAAACATACCTTTTGGGGAAAATGTCTCATGTCTCGTATACCTGATATCAGATTTAAACTACAAATTTAAAGTTAATAATATAGTATAAGAATCTAGAAAATCTATTTTTTACTTAAATTTTCGTTTTAAAATTCTAGTCTTTATGTGTAGGACAAAGATTTAAAGAATTATATGTTTACTTTTTATTTTATTTCTGTCATATATAATAATTTATAATAACAATAACAAAACTTGTGAGTGGTTAGCGTGGAGGTTGAGTCTATTTCAACACGTCAAAATTCATGTTCATATTGTAGCTCCATTGTTCTAGCTCACGATATTATAGTGTTTACGTAATGGGTACATAGGTACTAGGAAAGGTATTGTCCAATATCGAAGGACATAATATTATCATTTAAATAATTGTTTGACCAGATTTGATAGGAGAAATTAATAAATTAATTTGCTAACATTAGGCTATTTCTTCGCTGTTGAAAAAATAATCAAAGATTTCATGTATGCATTTTATAGGAAAAATAATGAATGATTATGCATCTAGTTGGACTATCTTCTTTCGTTATCACACTTCCAGGGTGATTCAATAGACAGTGCTCTGTGCAGCCATCAGCCATGTCACCGTTTCAAAAATAAATTGAACTTTAGAGCTTGCCCTTGCCATGATAGACTACTGCTGCAGCGGTCCGTTGACCACTGTCGTTGCAGAATCTTCAAAAGCCACCGTTTAATAGGTATTGTCAAAAACACCTGTTAAACGGAAACCAAATAAGAGAATTCCAGTGACAACCACACGCAGAAAAATATTTTATTTATGAAAAAAGCATGTTAAAACAGGTTTGATTATTAATCCAATTAATTCAATTCAATATTTTCAGAAAATTGATTTCATCGAATTAATGGAACTGCATATCTTTTTTAAAAAAGTACACTTTTCATTAAATTAATTATGACTTAATACAGTTCACCTATTATTATAATTATGGATAAAATCCATAATACCTATTATATCTACGTGGTTAATTATGGTTATGAGTAGAGCAAGGACTTTCATGCATTTGCATGTTTTTTATGGTTTAGTTAAACGTATGCAGAGTAAGTACACAATACCTTTCACAACGTTTGTGACCAAAAGCTAAAAGTTTTTAGTGCATATTTTTGCATATTTGGACATTTTTTGGTTTAAGGGGCGTATTTTAAGCTTTTAGTGCATATTTTGATGGTTTATCGAAAATCAAGCTCTTTGGTGAACATTTTTCATGAACTAAGGTCAACAATTGTTATAAACTCATAAAGACGATAAAGATAAATGTTATCTTGAAATAATAATAATGGTCGGTAAATACCTTTTTTGTTTTATTATGTGCAGAATAAATGAAGAAATGGGATCCAGCATTCAAAACAGATTCCAAATGAATTTAATAATATAAATATAGTTAAAACTTATGTAGAATAATAATAAAATTAATTTTTTTAAGGGTATATTTAACCTCATATTTTTAATTTTTTGATGCATAAGTGCATATTTTTAAATGCATATTTGATGATTTTTTAGTGCATGAAAGTCCTTGCTCTAGTTATGAGTGTTGAGTATGCACTATACAGCAGTTTAAATTCGCATTTTGGCTGTATTAAAATTGATTCGTCGATAAAAGGTACATATAGGCTATACAGAAGAATATAGTAAATTAGTAAGTGTGCACAACAATGTTTACACTAGTATCACGTATACCTACGTGGCTACGTGTATATTAGAAATAGTTTCACTAAATTTTGAGTTGCACAAATTCGTTTGACAAAAAAAAAGGGAAGAATCCAAACCAAATGTATTTACATTATATACATATATTATTATAACCTATAGGCTATAGGTATAGACTATATACATCATATGGTATAATAGCATATGAACCGTTATTGTTATGACTTCGATTGAAATGAATTCTGCGTGGAAAGCAAAATGGCCGAAAATGTCTTCACGTACCTATATATATGTTACGGGCAAAGTGGAAAATTCGGGCAATGTATACAATGTCCGAGGTATATTGGGCAATGTAAATTGTGAAGTATTTATATAAATAATCTGCATAATATATTTTGTTAGATGATCCTGATAAACTAATATGAACTTATATTCGCCATCTGATTGTGCTTGCATGTCGATCAAGTCAATTTGACAGCGAGAATTCATTTCAGAAGATATGATTGGTTTTACAACCAACCCTTTTTTAGTTGTACTTCCCTTCTTTTTATACGATTCACAATTATTTAAGTATAACATTATTACATCTCTAGTTATATTTTTGTACTTTTTATTAATCTCGTGTTCCATTCTATTTCTACCTCCATGTCCAATTTACAAATGAACTTCATGTATGATATCATATAACTGAACATTATGCACATAATATTTTATTGCATTACCTTTAAATACATTTAAAATTTAATAAATTAAAAAAAAATTGTAATACTCTTATATAAATAACCATATAAACGAGTATAATTAAATTAGTATATAATATCATTGATTAGGTAAAATAATATTATGCAGATTATTTGTATAAATAGTAAATACTTCACAATTTACATTGCCCAATATACCTCGGACATTGTATACATTGCCCGAATTTTCCACTTTGCCCGTAACATATATATATGTATTATTATACTTAAGTCGATATTAAACAGCCATCGAATAATAGGAGAATAGAGGTGAAAAATATTTCGATGAACAAAAATGGATGACTAAGTTGCTCGACGTAGTTACAGTTTATCGATGGTGAATTAAAATAAAACCGAAATATCCTCAACTAATTTGTTGATTAAGCCACAACTCACAATGTCTCAATGGCAGTAATATGGTAGATAATTTACATGTAAAAAAATTATTGTCTGGTTTATAGACTGCAGGGTTGAACTAAACACTGATTGTTTCAGCTTTAAAAATCCTATCGACAGTTAAAATTATTATTCACTATTTAGTATTTAATAGTTAGTGTTTACTTTCTATTTATAAGAACATGGGCGCATCGCGCATGACACTGCGTTTTGCGTTTAAGTCCCCATATACATAATTAGTACGACTACTGTAGGTCTTGTAGACACTGATATTATAATGTGATAGGTTGTTAATGTTATTATAGTGTTTACGAAAGTGTAAACCTACATATTTTGAAATTTATAAATAATTGCACTATGTATAGAATATATATAATATATAGGTACATGCATATGATATGCGTTCAGTTTATCAGTTATAACTTATACATATTTCCAACAATTGAATGCAATCGTTAAGCATTTCAAATCGTTTCCCTTTTTATAAGACAACAATTTTTAATGTAAAGAAATACAATTTTCAAAACCTTTGATCTAATATAATATAGATTTTAATAATTATACATTATTCATTTTTAAATAAGAACATATAATTTTAAATTTATCATATAATCTATGCAATTATTTTGCTCTTTAATATTTTATTTATCTAATAATGACTAGTCAACATAGTTACTTTTCATAAGAATTAAAGGCTTAGGTATGATTTCAAGAAAGTGGAATATAAATAGGTATTTTCAGTACATATACTACACAAACACTAAAGGTATTATTGTTAGTAAAATTAAAAATTAAAAATTAACTTCCATGTAACATTATTTATACATATCTATGCATTGTCTTATAGTATTATACATTTATTAACATTTTTTTTTTCATTTATTATAATAAATTATAGTAATTCTATGAAATATTATGTACCTATATCTTTGGTATGCCAGATTTGAGATTTTTATTTTTATTACATGTTATGTACAGCTAATATATTTTATAAGTCATAAAATACTTCACGAAACATGAATGGAATATAATACATAAATAACTTGACGCGTACAATAGGTCAAATGATTTCACTTAGAGAACATTTAACTCTTATAATTCTTCATAATACCTATAAACAAATAATGAATTGTAAATACAAGTAGAACAAATGATACATTTCTGTAGATAAATATTTTTAATTTCTACAAAATAATACATGTATTTGACACTTTAAATGTTAAACAAAACAGTGAATAATTAACTGAGAATATTTTTGTGAAAATATTTATCTTGATATTATACATTTTATTTAATATAATATCAAACTATAATAAATTCATAATAATTATAGATAATTCAAGTCTATAAAAAATTAAGGTGACCATATTTGTATAGGAAAAGAAATAGACAAACAATTTCGGTTTTACTCTTAAAAAACACCTCCAAAAATTGTAGTGATTTTTGTATTTTGTATGATATTTTGGAGATAATAATGTTCAAATAAGTGTATATTGTATAGAGAAAGCTAATAAAAAAAGATAAGACCTTAATAACACTCGAATCCCAAATTATTATACTTTAAATTTATAATATATAACTATTATAACCCATTTGTATGCAACATAAGTTTTATATAAACAGGCAATTTTAAAATAAATAATAGTAATAACTAATAATAAATAAACTCGTGGTTACAGTTTCCGTTTGAAAATTAATTATTAATACTTTTTAATTGATAAATTAATGAGAAAAACTACTAAATAGTAAATCTAATCACAACAAATTATTTGACCTTAATGACGATTATTTTTAGAGATATTAATTGGCTGTAGCGTAGCTATCAAATAAAATTGTCGAACTACCTAATTGAAGTATTAATTTTTTTAGAACTATTTACATAAAACACATTTTGATTAAATCAATGTTTGTAAACTATTTATTGACCTATGCCCGTCAATAATTATCTAACGACGCGACGCCGCTAATGCACCATACACCTATTTGCAATATTTGATGTTCAAAAATTATTACGAGTTAAAGCAGTTAAGCTATTAAAAGGTCTTTTAATAATCTAACCTCAATGACCTATCATAAATGTTGTTATCTCCACCTTTAATTTACATTTTGCAGGACATAGCAAAAAAACTTTTCTTTGACCTTCACCATATGGACTCAAGGTCATTAGATAAACAATTTAGTTGACTTAATTGAAAAATGAAATGTAATTGAAATATGAAATTATTATCTGTGATCAAGTGGTTAGGTTAATTTTATACCGGTAGCTTTATTAAAAAAGAAAAAGAAAAGTGGTTAGGTTTTTCATGATCCATACGTTTATAAAAAATATAATATATATAAATATACTATCTAAATATAAAAATATGCAGTAGAAACACTTAATAATAATGTCAACTCAATATACCTGCATAGATAATGTTTTGTAATTTATATTTGTAACAGATCAATCAAATCGATAATCAAGAATGTGCTGATCCGACAAAAAGTCAAAATTGTAGTACAACATAATATGATATAAAGTATTGGAATAATAACTCTATGTCGGTAAAGCACGATTGAGCATATACCTTTTAGCAACATGGTTGAACATAGATTATTTTATCGGACGTTGCCATAATCTCATTGCCGAAATTTTGAAATTTATTATTTTCAAGTATTATTACACCAATAATTATAATGATACCCAACTTAAACGAGCCGCGAGAAGTGAACTCAACCCAAGTTTATCGACAATATTGTTATCGGCTAGTAAATTAGTTCCGGAACAATAAATATTAGTTTTATCTATAATGTACTGCCGTCAGAAATGCGACGTTCTAAAGTGTAATTATTTAGCATCGAGGGAAAATATAAGATAATTAAGATTAATAATTAGTAATAATTCCAAAATTATTATAGAATCAATTTTATTTATATTGTAGTATTCGATCAACTAGTATGTTTAAAAAAATGTCTAGTTTATTTTTTTAATATATATATAAATAGTATGTCAATCATTCTATCAGAAATTTTTGATTCGTACCATATTTTGAATTATTTAAATTATCTAAATAAATATTTGTTGTATATAGTTTAAAACTTAAAATTTCAACATCTCACAGTTTTTTATACTTAAATCGTGTCGTTTTTATTTTGTATTCCTACATCCCTTTGACACACCGTCAAATTTGCTCAATCGTGTCGTAAAAAAAAATGTTTTATAATCAATCATGTTTTTGTCATCTATGTAAGGTGTCATCTTATATAAGTTATAAACTTATAAGTTCCTAGCATAATAAAGCTAATATTGAATGATGTAAAACTTTTCTCACCGTTTATCAGTAGATTCTTCCACTTTGAAGAAAGACAAAGTAGCCATAGTTAATGAGACCATCAATAATATTATTTGGATATATATTCCAAAATAATTGCTATAGTAAAAACTTACAGCAGCTGCTATTGACTAAAATACAATTTATTAACATTACAGATATCATTCATAATTTAATATATATATATATATATATATATATTATAAACAAATGATCGATTATCATTAAACAAGAATCAAATACCTGCATGAAATTGAATAAGGCCGTGGGTGGAGCACTGTTTTCAGAATACCTTAGTCCAATTATATTGTAAAGTTGGGTATTGAAACAGCTGTCGCCAAAACCCAAAAGAAAACTGCAGAAAATTGCTAGGTGTGGACTAAAATTGTATGTAACTTTGTAAGTACTCACTACTTATACATATTTCATGATAATGATGTATGTTAAAAACATATTTATATATTACTTGGGATTTATAAATGCGTTTGCAGTTGTATCGCCAAATGGTGAGTCGTTCGGTAAATTTATAAATATCAAACCATATGCTACGATATTTACCATAAAACCTAATGCAATTACTGCTGAATGGCTTAATCCTTTCGAGTTAGTGTTGTTGACAACAGTCTTTTGTCCCAAAACACTGAATATCAAACCTCCTATGAAAGCTTGAATATATTTTAATTGTTCAATGTAATAGTTTAATGTTGTAACCTAAGATTTCGCCAACGCCGATCAATATTCCAGATAATCCCACAAGCTGTTTACTATTGGAACCCATTCTCTTAGTAAATCCAATACTCGAACTATAGACACTAGCATAGAATGACAAATGTAAACCTGTACAATAATCCCAGAACAAATAATAAATTAATATTATAAAATACATCTGAAAAGAATTTTTACACTAACCAGTAAAAAAAAAAGTTATATTTAATAAGCGCATTTCTTTGGTTAAAAAAAGCGACATAGTGTTTTTGATTTCCTGAATAGAACTTATTGTTTCAACTCGTTCGTTCACAGTCCCATCTGAGTTCACAGGAGATCGTAAAAGTAAGAACAATAATGTACCGAGTACACTTACAACTATGAGTACAATGTATATAAATTTTCTGGTCGATTCATCAAAATCATCTTTATCGTGAAGTGCAAGAGACACAAATGTATTTCCTAAAATCATACTTGAAACATACACAAAAATTATACACAATATATGAATAATGATATGTGTGCGTACCTAATAATATTTGATATTAAAAATATATAAAGTTAAAACCTTATATTCGATAGTGACCAAAATACTCCTGTATTTCTAGACATTGTAAATGAATCAGAGTTTAGTGTTAAGTACGTTCCTTGTCCTGTCCAAATAATTGCAGCACCGAAACCTTGTACCGCAGACATAAGATACAGTAAAAACGAAGACAGCCAGAGAAATGATACTAAAAACATACTAAACAAAATGTTGACATTCAGTGAAAGTGCATAAGTATTTAGAATACGCCAGTGTACCTATATTTTAAAATTAAAAATTATAATTTTATTATTTAAACAAGTACACACGTGTAACAAATTGCGCCTATAATCATAGCTATCTTGCACCCTGTATAATTGACAATTGACGGGGAAATCCAATTACCCAATGCGAATACAAAATAGCTAATTGACAAACTAGTATAACCATCGCCGGTAAATGAAGGATAGTCACTTTGCACGCTTTTCAGTAAAGTTTCCTAAAAGAATATAGCATTAATAAAACAATACTTATTCAATTATGTTGGTAACAGTGTTTTTTTTTAAATTGATTAATGAATATTAAGACTGAAATTAATTATTATTATTTTAAATATATTCATAATATTGATTTTGCAGGCTATGCACTTAATTTTGCACACCCGTAGGCTTTTGCACTAATGGCTAATGGACAATGATAGCCATAGAACATTGAACATTTTGTAATTGTAAAAAACTATTCCTTAAAATATAATCCCAACTAGAAACAATGTTAATAAAATATTTACTTCGATATTTCCTATTGTTTGATATGCAGCAAAAAGAAACATGAATGATAAGCCTAATAGGCAAATGTTGTATAGCCTTTTATCCATTTTGATTTATTTGATTTTGAATTATTGACTTGATATTTTGAGTATTTTCTGTAAATATAATATTAATTAGTACCTAATTCATATATTCACTATATTTCAACATTTATCGTAAAAATATTTCTAGAAATAATGGTAATTGAATTATAAACAATAATAATATACATCAATAATTTACTAGAATTCAATTAAATACAAATTAATAATATTAAACATTAGGGTTGAACATATATTAAGTTGAATAGGTATTGGTATAAATCTTTATTAGGTTCTATAACATAATGTCTTCATAACATCACTTAGGTGTATTGTATCAAACTGTAAATATAATTGTACAAAATTAACTTTATCACTAGGTAGCTTAATCAATGTAGTTAAAGGCGAAATAAAATACATTAAATAAATATATAAATAATTTTTTTTATTGAAATAAGATCACCAATCTGGCCATAGGCTGAAAATAATTTTTTTCTTAGTAGGTACTAATAATACTTAAACTATAGTATGATTTTAATGATTTTATAGGATTTGTTTAAAGCTTATATTTTTCATTACAATAAATTATTAATAGTAATATATTTTATGAATTGAATATTACTAGCTTGTTGACTGTCTCTCGATATCATTGTTAGGAGTAATTATTAATAACTCAATAATATTTGTATGCAATTACTATAAAATATGTGCAATATACTTGATATATATAATTTATAATGATGCACTTCAATCGCACCTAATAATTAAATATGTGGTTATTTAATTCCTGAGACGGTAATTAACATTTATGTGACTTGACTATAGTTTATATTTAATTAAAATAATCTGTGTAAACAAAATACTCCGAATGATAACAAAAAAGATTGCAAAACATCAAACATTATGACGTGTCTATAATATGTGTTCATTTATTTAACACTAAATTTGTGTTTAGCAGGTATGCTCATCTTAACTCTTAAGCAAATGCATATTACGTACCAAGTACCTACCTATTAGCTAAGTATAAACTATAAACAGTTCTTGTTTCTAACAACTAGTGGAGCCGTGAAGGTCAGTGACGTGCTCGGCTTTTTTGAAAGGGGGAGATATGAATATGACTATTCTGAGATAACATTGTAAATACATTTATTCCTTCGTCATATATTTTATGTAACAAAAATAATCCAAAGGGGGAGGATGACCCCTCATTCCCCCGTGACAAAGCTCCAGGTGGTGGTGCCGATTTTACGTAGCTCATCAGATAATATTTAGGTTCTAAAATTAGTTTCACTGGACATTTTTTTTTTTTTTTGTAGTTTGATCAGATTTATATTTGTGTAATTGTGTATGTAGTAATGCCTAATAGTTGTAGTACGGTATACGTCGTCAGGTAATTTTTTTAACTTGATTTAAATATAAATTTGGATTTTCGATTAATCGTTAAAAATTACACAATTTAATATGGTTTACCTTAGGTTCGTGAATCGTAATTGATATAGTGTAATTATCCAATATTTACTATAGTATTATATTGTAATTAATATCATGAAGGTACCAGCTACTATTATAATGTACTATGTAAGCTGCAGCGTTTAAACTTATATCAAAACAATAAAATCGATTTCAAACCGAATGGAGAACAAAGACCAAGGCATATATACTAACATTATTCATTATCCAATGTTGAATAATTTCAGACACTTGTAACCACCATACGCACAATAATATTACATGATATAATGTAGGCATGTAGCACAAAATATCAAGTTGTATGTTATAAATTTGAGACCGGCGCCAGCGGACCTGGCGACAACTTCAACACAACCATCAGAAATCACTGAATGTATGAAACTGAACGGTTAAAGCAGCCGAGTTGGGCACAGATTGCAGTAGGAAACGCCCAACGTCGAATGCGAAAATCACCAATTGGTTATCTTCAATTTTATAAAAATACAATAATAAACAAACATTTCGATCAACTTTTTTTTTTAAACAACAAATAACGGCGATAAGAAGAAACACGGGTTCTCAATTTTTTAATAGGTTTTAGATTTGATAAAAACGTGTCAATTATTATTATTATAAAGATATACCAAGTAGTAGGTATAGGTGCGAAAAAAAAGAAGCGGACTAGTATGTGTATAACCACTCTGACTGCTGTTCAGTCGTGGGTGTTGAGTGTACCTAAACGTAGTCATTGAATAGGCCACTATAACTGTCTATAAGTATGTAATAATAAAAAACAATAATAGTGGACATGTTAAATTTAAATTTAGTGATAAATCGTATTCTTTGTATACGAATAACGGTTCTGAGATGACGCATTGCTATATGTGGTGACATAAGAATATTAAGTATTATATATTAGTATTATTTATTGAATAAAAAATAAATCGATTAAAATAATTGATTTTTATTTGATAAGTATTTAAAGTTTAAACGTTGAAAAAGTTTATCAAATCTACAAAAATTGGCAAATTGTTTGCAGTTAAAACAATATACATTTTTAATTTTTATAGCTAAGCGGTTTGAGCATTTAAAACATGTTTTCTCATACTTAGTTTATACTGTAACCAAAAAATCTAATATATGTGCTATATTATTAATATGAAAATTAATTACTTTAATATAAAATATAGAACCGACAGTTTTCTACCCCTCCGGTATTTTATGTTCTCGTAACTTTTTTATTTAATTAGAGAACAAATGGTCTATATAGGAAATCAGGACCCGTAAAGTATTTATGGAAATATTAAATCGTACGTAATTTGTAAGTGCAATTTTTTTTTACAAAGCCCAGGGCTGTCCTGAGAATTTTTGGGACTTTTGTATTTCCTTATAGAGCAGTTATTATCTAGAGTTAAGTTAGCGGCTTCTGAATCAAAAAGTATCTCCCCCCTAAGTTAAAATCCTAAATAGTAAATACGCCACTATAAGTATGTGAGTGCCTTGTCGTTGTTTACCAATTCTACCATTTTAACGTTTGATCTCCCAAGTTAGGTTAATGCTGATATAATATGATAGTAAAGGACAAGCGGTAAATAAAGACTTAAATATGTCAGCTACAAATGACTATGTACTGAATAATGAAGTTATGTAATTTTTCGTCTAGACTCTAGCCAGGTCAACTACAAAATGTACAATAAAATATTGATCAATATGTTGTCATTTTAATTTTAATGTTGGTATTAATTGTAATTATTATACATACTTAATTTGGTTATAAAAATAATATCATGTATATAATGTTGGCGAAATAAAAAATAATAATAATGTATCCAGTTTTACCTACCTGAGCTCGGTAGTACAACTTCACCATACCAATTAGTGAATTACACAAATGTAATTTATTGACATTTTAAACACCTGCAGATGTTACATTTTAGTTGTTAGAAAATTAAATTTTTAATGATACTCGTTTATTACGTTAGAGTCGTATAATGCAATAAATAAATAATAACAAATAACAATTAATGTAATACCTATACAACCGCACAGTGTACATTTTATATCGTTAAACAATCAACGCAAATTATTATTTTTGTTATAGAATCTATAAAAGTCGAATTTAGAGATGTTTTTCTAATGACTATTCGTAATCGACTAAACAAAATTTGAAACAATCTATAATATGGAAATATCGTTAAGTAGGTCAGTAACTCGCACTAACGCAGAATAATAATAGTACGAGAAAGGATAATCAGCATGTATAAATAACCGGTTAGTCGATGTAGATGTCGCCACTCGACGGAATACCACTTCAATTCAACTACAATATATAAAAATGAGCAGATATAATAATACTAAATAGTAAATAGAGGTGGGTACATAATTAGATAAATTTTATATTATAACGTATATCTATAGCGTACTTATTCAAGGCAGGGGAAAAATTGAATTCAGATGTGGTGGGGGCAGGGGATTTAAATAATTTGAAATGCGTTTATAATACCTACGACAAATATGAATTAAAATTATTATCTGAAAATCAGAAAACAATACATAGGAATTTTTTAATGTCCTAAATATTATTTTATAATTTATTATTCGTTAAAAGTAAAAAATACCTCACAGTTTTCAAAAGTGTGGGGGAAACCTCAAAAAAAAAAATAAGGAAAAACGGGAATTTTAATGCAAAACCATTTTGGTTTTTTGTTGTGACTCTTAAACTAACAACAGTAGGTTCTTTAAATTACGATAAATAATTTTTTACAACAAAATAACTAACATTTTCATTCTTCTTTTAAATGTGTAGGTACCTATTTCAAACGTTCAAGTTGGAATTTTAAAGATCTATAAGTAATGAAAAATTGTGCAGGTATTTTAGGATTTTTAGTTTTAGTATGAATTACTTACTTACGGTCTGGAACGTTTTTATTTTTATCTATATTTCAAAAAGATTAATAAAATGTATCTATTAAATCATTTTTTTTCATAATTTTAAAAATTTATTGCACGATTTATAAAAATTACACATATTAACTCAACCCAAAATTCATACATAATATAATTAGGGACCTACCTACATTTAATACATAATTAAACCAAATCGAAATGAAGAACAAAAATAGAAATTGAATTAGGTATACCATTAATTTATTTACACACCTGATTGATTAATCACTGTCTCAAATATGAGAGAGGCTTTCCCATAAATCTCTGTCAACCCTCCCCCCTTCAACTCAAAAATTATTATAGGTACTTAGTTTTAAGAATATATCATATTTAGAAAATATGATAGAAGGGAAGGCTTTAATTTTCCTAAAAAAATTGGGGTAGGTATATGCAGTATTTTGCACCGATGTGATTTATATATAATTAATAACTAAATAGTAAATAATAATATAATAATTTAATTTTAGTACCTATTAATTTATCGATTATCGATGGACAAACTTTATCGGTTAAAGAAATTGAGATGTGACTAAAAAATAATTAATTGATGCACATCAATCATAATTATTAAACACTTATAGGTATAAACAATAAATCACTTATCAAAAATGAAGACAGCTGGTCAATACATTTTCTTATTAATTTAGAATAGGTTCTATTTTGCTAGCATATCAAAGGTAATAAATCGCTTTGTTTCGAATTCAAGTCATGTTATCAAAAATTATTATAACCTACAATTAACCCTAGATTTTTTCTTAAATATAATATGTTATAACTTATAATATATGACATGTACATTCAAAACTTAAGACAGCTGACAAGTTAATGTTAAATATATATATTTATTATTTTAGTAGGAACTATCAAGTCTGACAAAATATGTAGGTACTATAAAGTATTTTATTAGTAACTTAAACCTACTTATTTATTTTAACCATTAGCTTCTATTTCATAATTTATGTATCAGGCATTAGCTATAATTAGGTATAGATTGATATTAGTTGTTAGTTGTTACAAATACTTATACAGTTATACATAAAAATGTATTTCTTTTTTTTGTCGAGTATTTTTAATTGATTTTTTATAATGTTATTAAAATTTTTATATCGTTAAAAAAAGAATATTTAAATAAAAATAATCCAAAAAGGAAACTAAGTCTTAAATACACTAGAAATATATTTTTTCTGAACCGTAATAAATAATAATACTATTTTAGAATATTTTTACAGTAGATTCCCGATAAAACTCCATAAAAAATTGTTCTTTAGAAAAAAAAATATCATCAAAATCCAAAAAAATTAAACCTTGGGCAACAACTGTAATTATTACATCAATTCGTCGTAGAGATAAATTACATCTGAGTTTAAAAAAGCATCCATTTAACGAAAAACTTAAACAGTACTATTTAAAATACAGGAATACTTTAACTAACACGATAAAAGAAGCAAAAAATAAATTTTATAAATCTGAATTAGAAAAAGCCGGAAATGACTAGAAACTAAACTGGAAAGTTATTAAAAACGCGACAAAACGTTCTAAAACAAATTCATTTATTCAAACTATTAATAACAAATTTGGTGAAAAACTGCACTCTGCAGATAAGTCAAAAGAAATATCGAATTATTTTAATGAGTACTTTACAAATGCAGCACAAAACATGTATAACCAAATAAAACTTACAAGACAAAATATACATAGCATAGAATGTACATACACTGAACAACTAATCTCGAATACTACAGACATGTCATTTAATAAACTTAGCGTAATTAATGATAAAGAAATTATAAAAGCAATAAAGGCTTTAAAAGATGATTCTTCTCCAGGATTAGATGAAATTTCAGTAAAAATGATCAAATTAAATATACATTCATTAATTAAACCATTATCACACATTTTCAATTTAGCTACAACAACATCTACTATTCCGGAATGCTTTAAAATTTCAGTAATAACACCAATACACAAAAAAGGTGACAAATCTAACATTGAAAACTATCGCCCAACCTCACAAATATCAAATATTGCCAAATCGTTTGAAAAAATTATTAAAAAAGAATTAGTGCATTACCTTGAAAGTAATAATATTCTATCATGTACCCAATTCGGTTTTAGACCTGGTAAAAATACTGAACAAGCAAGTTCAACAGTATCAAGCTATATTTATAATTCTTTCGAAAAAAAAAAATGTGCAACTGTTTATTTGGATCTAGCAAAAGCATTTGATACTATAGATCATAAAATATTACTAAAAAATGTTAACACACTTGGTATCAAGGAAACAGCTCAGGATTTAATAAGTTTTCTTCTTGGAGAATAAAATAAAAATTAAAAAATTAAACATAAAATACATTGAATTCAACTCTTAAAACCAATTGGTCTTATCCCATACAATTATTGTACGAAATGTATAGATTGTGTATGTGCACTTGTAAAATAAAAAACGCGGGATACTATTTATACGCGGGATGCTCTTTATTTGCTGATTTTGCTGGATGCTACTTTAATGCAGAATACTATATTATGTCCGGGATACGACATTATTGCGAGATACTATATATACGTGGGATGCTATATATACTCGGGATACTCTCTATTTGCGGGATGCTGTATATTTGAGGGATGCTATACCTAGTTCACTAGAAAACTGAATTTTTATGGATTAATTATAAACAATAAAATTCAATTTTTCAAATTTGAATGTAAAATATATATTCTAAATAATAATTTAAATTAAAAATTAAATGTAGTTTAAATAACAAGTGTAATAGTAATTAAACTTGTTATCTTTTTTTATCCAGATAAATAGTATTTATCTTTTATATTTATCTAAATGATTAAGTTATTAATCATCTTTTATCTGTATCTAGATAAATTAAAACCAATTATCTTTTATCTTTATCTAGATAAATATATTTTAGTTATCTTTGCTCAACACTGCTTAGGGCAGCGGTTCCCAACCGGGGGGTACTCGCGATGATCTCAAGGGGTACGCGAAAAAAATTGAGTAATGGCGGACAAATATTGAATTTGTTTAATTTAAGACTATTCGTTTCGGAAATATGCAATATACGTTAATACGTTATTACAAATGAAAACTTGTGACACACAAATAACAATTTTTTCTTATCTTATAGATGTGGATTACAAAGTATAGAATACCAATACTACATAGAATACTGTCGTCTGTCATATTATAGATTATATAATATTATTATATAATAAGGTTGCGACTTAGATCATATACACTGGATAGAGCTATAGCGTATACCACGCGTAGTCCGTGTTTGAAGCAGACCTGTTCATGCCCGAAGTACTTAGTGCGCATGCGTGAGGAATGAAATAGAACGCGCGGGACAGGGAAGGAACAATAATGTGTTATAGACGTTATAGTGATAAGGACGATTAGGTACTGAATGCTTAGATCATATACTTTGCTCATGCGCAGTGATGACTTCGGGCACAAACAGCTATGCTTCAAGATTTTAAACCATAGCTCTATCCAGTGTATATGATCTAAGGGTTGCGGTGTTGGTGTGTATTGAGCTTCGGCCGGTTTATATCGTTATCGCACATTCGTACACAAGGGTAAAACTTAATTTTATAATGGAATAAGTATGTCGATTGCTTTCAAACTGTGATTATTGTATGAAAACTTTTCTTATTTATATTTTATAATTCGTTATTTTCCATATTGTTTATTAAATAAGTAAAATAAGTAATTTTTTATGTGTCTTATTACTCAATATAAAAATATATACATTTATTACATTATATTATATTATTGTTATTTTTAATTAAATGTTTTAAGAGTGGTTACGTGAAAAAATTTTAAAAATATAAAGAGGGGTACAATCTAGAAAAATATTAAGCTTAGGGGTACAGAAGAAAAAAAAAGGTTGGGAACCGCTGGCTTAGGGGAACGCGTGGCACTGCAGACAATACGGAGACGATAATAGGTTCGCACGTATGGAAAAATCGTTTATTTTTGTGGTATTTTTCTACTAAAAATATATGATTTTAATAATATGTAAATCAATATTTTTAAGAGTCAATTGTAATAACATTATTTTTGAGTTCCTAAGACATAAAACGGTAAAAATTTCCCAGTCAAGAGTTTTATATTGAAAATTAAGAAATGTTATACCCACTAATCACTTATTTCGAAAGTACGCGATCGGAATTTTATACAAGAAAGGTCGAAGTCGATAACCACATCATATCGAAATATGGAAATATTGAAAACGTCTTCAAAATGATCAACCTAGGGGCTAGGACCAATAACAGTAGGTATTGAGGCCCATAACAATACATTTTCAGCATTTATAACTTGTAAGAAACCAGTCATATGGAAATGTTTTAGTATATTTCAAAGATGAAAGTTTAACAAAAGTAACCGAAGAACAATTAATTGTTGGGTAGCACTATCCTAAAAAAAGAACAAAGATTTATCAAAAGATTATTTCAAATGTATACAAATTCAAGTGACTAGATAACCGACGAACTACGAAGTGATTCAAGGTATTGCTTATAATTTATAATTTTTTAAATTGCAAAACATATGTTAGTAATAATATTATAAATAGATGTATTTTATACAAGTAGCTTCCCAACTGACGAAGTGCTTCAATGTGTTGCTAAGGATTGCTACTTTTAAATGTACCTATTTTTATATTACCAATTATTATTTTATTCATATTTTACATTATACATTACACAATTCATACCTAATTTATTTTCAAATTGTACTTATTTTGGGTCAATATTGCATGTGCATAAATGACCGTGTCAAAATAACGAGACACCGACAAAAATTAAGGTACTTAATAGTGGTCTGATTTAAAAAATGTACATAACGATTTTTTATTTGATAAAAAGTTGACTTTGCATTGGTCGGATCATATAATATATAATAGTTTTAATATATTAATATAAAAGTTGATAAAATTGAAAAAGTGCTTCGACCGATGCAAAGTTAACTTGTAGGTTAGTTCAGTGCGATTTTTCGTTTGGACTAGGTTATGACGGTGCCAGTAACATGTCTGGAAAGTTTAGAGGTGTTCCTCAGACATAATAATTTCATTGTGCTGCCCACTCATTAAACATGTCAGTTTCAACTGCTAGTAACATTAAACCAATACGAAATTATCTTGGTATATTAGAAAAAATGTGTACATTTTTTAACACTCCGAAACGTAGTAGACAGTAGTGTAATATTATGTAAAATTGATGGTAGTGTAATATTATTAAAATTGATGGTTGTGACTTTGAACCCAAAGTTAAATCGTTGAAGAGACTCTGTAGACTGTAGTCTGTGCTACACGGTGGATTCAACGTTATGACGCTGTAAATGATTTAGTGGAATTGTTTCCGTTTGCTGCATTAGAAATAATTTCAGAGTGGAATGATAGTTCAGCGAGCTGCTCAGCTGACGAATATTCGTCTTGCTCGCGCATCCCATAACAAAACGAGCATCGCCGATGACTGTCGAGTGTCCACCAATCACAGAATACGACAGAGCGACCGCCGGGGGATCAGGCAGTGATCGGCGGCTCAGTCGTCGTGCGTTAAAGTGGCATATTCTTAACGTGAACAGAGTATAGGAACACCATTTTATTGAAATAATGATTATGTTTTTTCACATGGCATATCATCTTATACAGTATTTCTGATTTCAGTATTTACATTAGGTATAATAATTATCCAAGAGATATTGAAAATATTTTAATATCTGATATAATTGAAAAATGGGACTTCATCAATAGCCTATGAAAGAACCCCAAGCCTCACCTAAATGGCTAAATCTATAAATCAATTACAAGAAAACAAAATGAAATTTTATCACAATATAATAAATAAAATTGCATTAATATACAGTAGGTATACACTATTGCTACAACTAAGACATTTTATGTTATTTAATTTTGAGGAATAAAAACAAGATGTTACAATAAAAAATATAAATAACATTGTTATACTTCATTATGGAAAAATTAACTTGTTCTTCAAACCTTTCATAAATTTAATGACGATAATCTATTCTGGTTAAGCTTAAGAAACACAGTCGGCTGTCACTTTGTGAGCAGTGGAGGAGCAATGTTACACGGCAGGTACCTATATATAGATGACTCTGTGGGGGTAACAAACTGGTGTTGCCTGACTGCCGCCGATGAAACCATGTCACCAAAGACTGCATTTTTTATTTTGAACTAAGTATAATATTGATAACAGTTTTTACTGATAACAATGTATTATTTTCTAATCACTATCTAATATATTATAATATTATAATACATTGTTTTAACCTACGTCTCTATATTTGCGGTGTATAAGTGTTTAATTTAAGACAATTAATAACATTATAGTTAATATAATAATAAACAAAGAACCAAAATAAATATTTACTTCTTTTAACATTGAAAAATATTGTTTGTTGGTACAATGTTAATTAATAAAAAAAATAATGGTTTCTTTAAACTTTTTAATAATTTAAGTATTAACCTAGAAAAAAATATCTTTAGTATGACAAAATTGAGATTTTTGGTTAATATACTATTACACTAGTTTCACTAGTCACACATATTATATTTTTCTTAATAATATTTAATAAATAACTTGACGTTCATATATGGTTCAAATCATTTGGTCCAATGAATATTAAAATTCTAAAATTCTTTATATCTAGAAAATAATAAATTATAAATAAATAGTAAAAACACGATATATATATATATATATTATTTTAATTGATAATTTGCATAATTGGCACATTGAATACTTTTGGTCCTTAAAAAGGCAAAATTTTTTCATAAACACAATACTGGTAATATTGATTTTACAATAAACTAAATTATAAAATCAATGATGGTATGAACAAAAAAAAATTATGATAATATAAAGAGTGATGTAATAACTATTAATAAGAAATAATTGTATAAAAAATTGAAAATATTGGAATGTAATATTAATACACTGATACTCCAAAATTGTGTCCAATGAAGCTGTATATGGGTATTGTTGTAAGACTTTTCTCACCGGTTATCAATGGACTTATCCACTTTGAAAAACGACAGAGTACCCATAATTAATGTGATCACCAACAAGGTTAGTTGAACATACATTCCGAAATGATTACTGTAGAAGAAACTAATGGCAGCAGCTATTGACTAAAATAATATAATATTAAGCATAAGACTTATTTAAAAATAATAATATTCAATTGAATACTGGGCGATTCTCCAAGCACACTCATCCCTATTTCTCTCTTATAATTAATTAATTTAAATTCTGATTTTTGGAACTTTTTTAATATACCTATTTAAAGACCACATTTCCAAATTCTCAACATTTTTTGTACCAGGTACTTAAAGTGCCCTGTAGGCTGTAAAATACAAACTTCTGTTTTTCGGATGAGCCTCCCTCCCCCTTTTTTAAAATGTTAATTGGTAGATATTTTTTTTTGAACATTTTGGTGTACCTAATGAGTAGATTATCAGTTATTAAAATGTTTATCATAAAAAAAATTGGCCTTAATAATGAATTTCCAAAAAATATTAAATATATTTATTTATTAGATCTGGCTGGTCAGATGTCCACTTACTAATTTACAGTAGAAAAGGGAGGGTTCTCATTAAAAAAAAATCATTTGTAGATATCCACAGACATTCCTTCAGTTGAACAAAATACATCAAACGTTTGAAAATACAATCTTTATGTATATTTAAAAATTCCAAGAATCAAATTTTTGATAACTGCATAGTTGAAGAAAATAATGGGTGTGAGCTATTTACTTGAATCCCCGTGTATAGTTTGTATCACAAATTAACTGTTCAACACAAAATATATACCTGCATAAATTTAAACAAGGCCATAGCTGGAGCACTATTTTCAGAATATCTTTGTCCAATGACATTGTAAATTTGAGTATTGAAACAACTATCACCAAAACCCAAGAGAAAACTGCAGAAAATTGCTAGGTACTGACTAAAAAGTAATGTATACATTTTATGATAAGTTATGTGTTGAAATTAATACCCAAAAAATTAATATTACTTAGGTTCAATAAATGACTTGGCAGTTGTATCACCAAATGGTGATTCGTCTGGTAAATTTATAAATATCAAACCGTATGCAACAATATTTATAATAAAACCAAGAGCAACCACTGCTGAATGACTGAATCCCTTGGATTCAACGTTGTTATCAGAAGTTTTTTTACCCAAAATGCTGAACAGAAAACCTCCTACAAAAAATTGGAATGTATTGTAATTGTTGAAGCAATTGTCAAATTGCTTTAACCTAAAATTTCGCCAACGCCAATCAAGATTCCTGATAAACCCACAAGCTGTTTACTGTTGGTCCCCATATTTGTGGTAAATCCAATACTTGAGCTATAGACACCACTATAAAATGACAAATGTAAACCTATAAAAAAATATTACAAATCAATTAGGTAACAAGCATATACTATACTACTAAAATTTATCTAATGATAATTTTTCCACTCACCAGTAAAAAAAAATGACATGTTTAACAAACACATGTCTTCAGTTAGGAAAAGAGACAGAGAATTTTTTATTTCTTGAATAGGCGATAAAGTTTCTCCTCGTTCATTTTCAGTTCCTTCTGAACTTAAAGGCGATCGTAAAAGTAAAAATAATAATGTACCCAAAAAACATATGGCTATGAGGACGGTGAAGACTAATGTTCTTGTTGATTCATCCAAATGATTTTTATCATGAAGTGCAAAAAACACAAATGTATTTCCTAAAAACATACTGAAACCCAAACAAAACTATACGTAAATACATATTATAATACTAGTATGGCAGTATAACTAATAGTTAAAATACCTCATTTGCAACAACGCCCAAAATACTCCGGAGTTTCTGGACATTGTAGAAGAATCAGAATTTAATGTTAAATATGCTCCTTGCCCTGTCCAAATAACTGAAGCACCAAAACCGATTACTGCAGACATGAAATAAAGTAAAAAGGTAGTCGGCCAGAGAAATGATACTAAGAACAAACTAAAACAAATTGTTATGTTCAGTACAAGTTAACTATTAGACTCAACACTACATTATTTATGAGGAAGTACAAACGTGTAACAGCATGCTCCTATAAACATAGCTAATCTAGAACCTGCAAAACTGACAATTGATGGAGATATCCAATTACATAAAGCAAACACAATATAGATAATGGATAAACTGGTATATCCATCACCAGTAAATGAGGGATAGTCATTTTGAATACTTTTTAGTATAGTTTTCTGAAAAAGAAAAATAGTATAAATACATATAAAACCGGGTATTAAACAATATTTAATAAACACATGGCTTAATGAGGGTATAATATTATGCTATTATATGGATACCAACTGATTTTTGGTTTTGTCGTAAAATCATATAGTTAAATTGTTAAATATTTTTATTTGATACACCATTACATAAATGCGAATACATGTATTCAATATTTCTACTTTCTACTCTAATTTTTATAAATATTAAGGGCCATAAATTTCAAAATGGTATCTTACAGGTTATGTAAAATGTTGGTTATTAACACATTGATCTGTAGTCTGTAGATGGCAACTGTAAAGCCACCTACACATTACATTTCAACTTTTTTGAAGCATATAATCACTAAAAATTTTGTAAACTTTATCAATAAATAAATGAATAAAATAATTTTCTGTTTGAGCACTTTAATAATTAACAACTAAAAAAAACAATTAACATTAACAACTTTAACAACCACGAACAGAAATCTCAAAATTTAAAATTTAACTAAAATATTTTTTATGCCTAAAAAAACATAAATTCTTATAGTTATGTAATATGTTATAGAAGCAAAATACTGGGATGAGTATTTAAGTTGTATTTGATTTTATTACAAAGACTTTTAAGTTTTTTTTATTGATTTTTAATAATGTATAATTTATCATACAAACAAGATGGTATGTAACATTATCTCTTGAAAGTCTGATAATATGAACTATCTTAACAGCAATACATTTTACAGAAGTACATTAGTAGTTATATTTACTTCAATATTTCCCATTGTTTGAAATGCAGTGAAAACAAACATGAAGGCCAAGCCTAACAGGCTAACATTTAATAGCCTTTTATCCATTTTGTTTAGTTTTTAACACTGTATGGCCAACTTGATTTTTGTGTCTGTAAAAATTAACGTTAATTAATATAATATAGCATATTAACTTAATTGCAGTTTATACTAAACATTTTTTTATATAAACCGTATTTCAAAGAGAACCTAAAATCACAAGTAAAATTATATTTACTATAGGTTAGCATAAAGGCATACCGTGACATAACGATGGGTGGGTAAATGTCAGACGTTTTGATAGAAAACTGAACTATTATTATTTTTGTATTATATTTGAATATAAATAATAATCATATTCGCACATATTGTTTAATGCAACATGTACAATACAATAACATACTTAAAAACTAGTTCTTAGTTTTACATATAATATTGCACACATCTTATAACTATATTATTATTGGACACTGAAAATTGGATGATTAATGACAGATTTGAAATTTTTTTAAAAAAATAACCTGAGTTTATTGTTTCTAAAATAATGAAATTAATATACCATGTTCTAAAAGTATGTTGAAATTGTATAGCATAAGAATAATTATTGAGGTCATTAACATTCACACTTTTTTTAAATTGAATTTTATCCAGAGTTAGTTGCAAAATGGGATAACTGGACAATACAGAAATTTCAAAAAAACCATACATTTCTAGAAAATACAACATAATTTATTTTTCACTTTCCAGCGTTTATTTGTAGTGTTGGTTTTTTTTATATCAAACAGCATTAATTACACTTTTAAGTTTAAACTTCATTAGGATTATAGTTCTGATATGAATAGTCACCTACATTTTTGAAATATGATCTGCGCATAGTACAGACAATTTAACATTACATTGTGAGATTAAACAACTTAACTATTTGCACATAAATCAATAAATACAAGAGATTAATGAGCAGATTACAGAAAACTAAAAACCAAAAATGTCTAAATTTTGTTGTTGTGCTACAGTTGTTATTAGTTATACAATTTTAAAATAAAAAAATAGAATATCTTGTATTAACCTCCATACCGCAACAAAATTAAAATTAAACCAAAGACTTTACTCTCTCAGACTCATTCTCTGTAAGTTCTCAAAACTATTCCTAAAAACCAAAATTCACATCTACAATCTTCTTCTAAGGCCTATTTGGCTCTATGGTATTCAGCTCTGGGGCACTGCCAAAATATCCAAGTGTTCCAATCAAAAGTCCTATGACTCATCACCAATGCCCCTCCGTATATCTCAAACACACTCTTCACACTGATCTTCACATTCCTAAAGTCACTGCAACAGCTACGCTGTACTACACAACATTCAGGAGCTGCCTTCAAAATCATACCAACCCCCATGTTAAACAGCTACTATCTATCTCCATCCCAAGAAATCCTCCCAGAATACTTAAACGACAAGGGCTCTGTGGTCTTATTAATTTAAAATAATATGAATACCTAAATAATTGTGAATTCCACTTCGAAGTACCTTCACTACCATTGGCACCGAATTTTACTTCATTTGTTGGCGCAAAGTTTAAAAATTAGTTATCCACCTCCACCCACACGGTTGTCAATTTATACACCCCGACACCCATCCACACGGTGGCCGGCACCCATCACCCTAATAAAATACAGAGGTGAACCGCTCCATAAAAATATGTGTTTGGCCCCACTGTTCACTGATAGGTTCTTCCTTCAAATCCCTCAAGCCATTGCACATAATTTAAAAAAAACACACATTATGCTTATTGTACTTTTTAGTATAGATTATTTAAGTTTTAGATTAAAAATAATAATAAAAAAAAAAAATACAAAAATAGAATATCTTGTACTTCATACCATGTCTTTATTATAGCCTACGTATTATATTAATATATAACATACGTCATTATTCATTAATAAATATTGATTTTATGGAATATAATAAATATTATATAAAATATATTACATGGAGTAGGTATATCAGTTTTTAACTTTTATCAAACATGTAATCTAAAATGATAATATAACTACAAAATCTTGGATTTGTCAGGAATCACCACACGTGAGGACGGAGTGGACCTGAGGATCATTCCTTTTTTTAAAAAGTGCATACAAGTTCAATATCTAAATAATTTGATTTGATTGTAGAGAATTTTTGTATATTTCCAATATTGTCTTAATCTATTACAATTATTATATACAGCTACAGTGATCTGTGATATGAGACTGAAAGATTATAAAGATTTGAAATTTAAGATGCCTACTTTTCATAAGTATATGACCAATATAAGAACTTCTTTCATAACTTAGGTACTCTAATACCTAAGTGGTACTCATAGTAATTTATACACAAGATTTTAAAATGTAATATATCTGTTATGTCAAATTATTTCACTTTCAGTCTCCTTACTATTTAATTTTAAGAGAGCACTTATAGGCATGTGCTTAAAACAAAGTATATTGTTTTTAAAAGTGTAAATTCTAAATTATTTAAGTGGTGAGTAATATGTTGGTACAAAAGACAAAATAACTTAATATTTGTAATAATATTATGGTGGGTGATTTGTAAATTAAATTATACAAATGCCAAGAGCATGGAATTTACGTGCAATTATATTTTTATTTATTTACAGGAAACAATTAATGCATACCAAAATAGTGTAGAAAAATAATTTAATTCAATAGGAACTAGAATCTAAAAATATGTAATAATCAAACATTATTCAAAAACACCAGGGATAATAAGTTATTTTTATTAAAAACATACATTTTGAATTCAAATGATTCAATAAATTCATCAACTAATAAGTTAATGTCATTAGATAATTTTGCCAGTATGGATCTATTTTTTTGTAGTGTTAATGATATTAAAACAAATTTGTGATTTGATTTAATCTTATTATGTTACCAATTTAGATATTATATTCATTAAAATTATTATTATTCATATTATTTTCTTAAATTTTGTATAAAATTATTCCTATGCACATATTTATAATTCACTTTATACCTACACAATAGTTATATTTTTACTTAAGTTTTTGAAAATAGAGTTTTCTTCACTGTCTCTAAATAAATAAATACCTATTTTACTCAAGGGATAGAAAAGAAATGTAGAAAATATAAATTTTGTAATTCAATTAAAAACTACCAAATATATAATAGGTAAGTATGTTACTTTTTTATTATAAATTATATGATATTACGTATTGAGCGATGGAATACCTAGGTAAATACACTTTTTAACTTTACTTAAGTCTTGTTTTTCAATTAATATTCTACCTATGCTTGTTGATTACGATTTTTATTATGCATTACGTTAAATGTTAAAGTTAAACTTTAAAAGTTATACGTAGGTAATAAAAATGAATTATACTTCTTTTAGTGAGAAAAGTGACTTGTTCTTATCTTTAACCAGTAAGACGTCAGATTTTTTAGTATTTTACATGAGATTATATTATAATTTAATTACTAAATCAGTTTAATTTTGACATTTGCCAAAAATAATGTAAATTACAAGGCAGTGTATAATAATGTTAATAATGCAATTTAAATTTTTATGCAAATAATTATAGTAAATTACTAAATATCGTTCTGTAAACATTCATAAGGAGTATCTAAAGTAGGGTTGCCATACGTCCCGGTACACCGGGACATGTCACCAATTCATGACTTTGGTCCCGGTCGTCCCACTAGACCCTACAAAAGTCCCGGTTATGTGTAAATAATATTATTACCAATAATTATATTAAATTATGTTTTTATAAAAATTATATTTGTATTCTAAAACCATGAATTTCACGTTGAACACTCCTAATGCTATGGGAAAACCAGAGCTATTGAAACAGGTGAAAAAGTCAGAAAAATATAATATTTCAAAATAAATAAATAAATAATATTTCGTTACCTAATCAAATGTATCTTCTAATTTAATGTCTTTCATAATTCAATACTATTATAATTGTATTCTATATACATATTTATATTTATTACACTGTGTTCTAAATTTTTATATTAAAAAAAAAAAAAGGTTCAAATTGTTTTTGTAAATGTCCCGATCAGTACTTGAACTTTTATGGCAACCCTAATCTAAAGACCTAAAATACTAAAATACCTGAATCTGAATCCGCGCGTTTGCGTTCCGGGCGAGTACTACATATTAACAAGTAACAAGTACTATATAACAGTAACGAATAACGATTAGAAAACACTAAACAGACATAAACACCGAATAAAAGAGTCAACAGAGCAAACTCTGAAACTAGAAAGCACAATAATAAAATATGTACAACCGGTTATCGCCTATTGGTTTTGTATTTAAATAACAAGTAACAATTCCATTTCATAGAGCGGGATTGAGCCATAGGGAATATTATAATATTAATAATAATATTATCTTTCACAAGTTTCACTGATTACACATTTTTATTTTTTAAACAGTCCGTAGTAGTTGTAGATTTGTAGTTGTACGAACTACGAGCGTCTCATTGCAGCTTGGCAAATTGGCTGCTGCGCGCGCAGCTCCCCTTATCATACCATTATCACCGTTACTTTCAAATATTGTAAATATATCAAGAATCGCTATAGCCCCCCCCGGCCCCCAAAAACTAATGATTTTACTAACATGATACACATAATACATTGTAATTTCGAATTTTCGAAAGAAATATCACTTTATGCGCATTATTTATTAATGAAATAAAAGATGCTGGGATGTTTAGTATCCAATGTGATGAAGCTCGGTAATGAAAAATTATCTACCTCTTATAAAAAAGTTTTTTGTTTATAACATATGTTTATAATATTCTAGATGCCACCACGAAGAACAACTGGTAATATGTATTCGGTATCCAAAAAACTTGAGCGTATGTGAACGATTTGTTGAATTTGTAAACGTTTCTAAAAAACAAGATGCAGATGCTTTAGTTAAAGTTTTACTTAATTTTATCCATAAATCAAATTTGAGTGAAATTCCTATAATAGGAGTCCTATGACGGTGCTGCTGTTATGTCGGGTTCAGAGGGTGGGGTTCAAAGTAAACTGAGGCAAAACCATCCACCAGCATCAAAAGCTATATATATCCATTGTATGGCACATAAGTTGAACCTTGTAATAGTTGATATGTGCAAAAATTTAAAGGTATACATTTTGAAATTTTTTATTTTACCTATATTCGATTAATTTGTTTAATAATTAATAATTTTTTAGGATGCTAGAAGTTTGTTTAATGGATTACAGGCTCTGTATGTTCATTTTTCCTATCCAACTACTTATAGTTATTAGTTATACTTATTAGTTGTTGAAATAGCAATTACATTGCCCGTAAGTTCGTCCACTTCTGAGAGGTCATTTTCAACAATGCGAAGAATAAACACCTACTTAAGATCTACTATGTCCCAAAATCGGTTCAGCAATTTGGGTATTCTTAATATTGAGAAAGATATTGTTGTTGACGTGGAAGAGATTCTAAATAATTTTAGTAAAACCTAAAGGAGAATTAAGTTATTGTAATTAGGTTTACTATAAGAATAATAAAAAAAAACTGATGTTAAAAAATAATAATAATGTTGTTAATATAGTTTTTATATTATTATGTGGATTTGATTTTTGATGGTATATAATATATAATATATATTATATGTACCTATATGTTTATATTTATTTGTAATTCAAAAATGTTTAGGTGTTAATTACTTGTATAAATGCTTCATTCAGTAGCTAGGGCTTCAGCCCCCCCAAATCTCAAACGCTATTTGGGCCTATGTAATTTAATAATATTAAAAATAAAACTTTATATAAAAACAACCAAATTATAAACATTCAAATTTATAGTAATAGGTATCTAAAATTTAAAAATGTACAAATTTCTACTAAGTTTGAAATATTGATTAATTTATAATATGTCAATAAAAATTATAAACTCATAAATGAATAGTTGCAATTCTATTAAATGCTATATGAATAATAAACTAATAAACACTATTATTATAGTTATTTTTATATTGCTTTAGTAAACCTAGTACATTTTATAACATTAACATAGTTAATATACAAATTTTAGTTTAGGTTATTATTATACAAATTAGTTAACTGAATCATACCTTATAAAGTTATACACTTATACCTATATTTAAATGGCTAAATAAATATTTAAAAGATGTAATTTGTTTTTTATAAATAATACATTTCTTAAATAGGAAATATTCCTAGTTACTTGTGTGTACATATTTAGATATATGGTGTTTTATTCAAGTCCAGATACTATATTATTGATTGATATACAAAATATTTGAAAATTTAAAATAATACATAATAACAAGAAATTTCCAAGTCATAAATCTTCTAAAAATAAGTTATTAATCTCAGACCAATGTTTCTGACACAATCATTTTTCATAATCTTCATACTGTGTTTATACTTATTGTGATTTTCATTAAGCTAGTATTTTATTTTTGTTTGTATCTTGGCATCTGAGCATCATGTCATCTAGTGCACCTGAAATTAAATGTTCAATTTGTGATACAAAGTTTACACAAAAAAAAAATCTTTATGCTCACTTAAGGAATATACACGGTAGTGATTCTTTAAATGTAAATAATTTTATTTGCACAGTTTGTGAGAAAACATTTAAAGTTCAGAAAACTTTAGATACCCATATAAAAAAATATCATAAAAATGGCGATAAAAATAGAGAAACAAGAATAATTTGTCCTTATGATGAGTGTAACGAACCTTTGTTTAAATTTTCAAAATTAAGGATTCACCTGTTTGAAAAACATAACATTACTATAGAAGTAAAAGAACTAAGTTTTTCGACCATTGCAGGTAATACTTTTATGAACAATAATAAATTAATGATATCATATTAATATTTAATACTAGGTATTTTAAATTTTGTTGCGCAATAACATGTTTAGGTATATAATATTTATTTTTTAATATAGAATTTGAGAAATGGAAAACGGAGACAGAGCAAAAAAAACATTTTCGAAGTTTATACTTGATAGAGCTGCAATAAAATTAAGTAACGGCTGTACTAGGTCATATTATTATTGCCATCGATCATTTAACAATCGAAAAACCAAAAATGAAATTGAGAAAGCAAGAGAGACAAAAGCTATAGGGACTAATAAAATAGATGGAACATGTCCATCTATGATCAAACTAACAATGCAAGAATGTGAAGAGACAGTACAAATTGAATTTTGGGAAAACCATTATGGCCATGAACTAGAAATTGGAAGAATTGGATTAGACAAAGACATAAAGTTAAATATT